TTTTTTTACATTTTCAACATTAGTATGGATTATTTAAAATCTACGTTATCTCGGGTTGTATTAGGCAAAGACGTGCCTTCTTTTCCTTATAACATAGCTGATAAAGTCGAATCTTATGATGGTGAATCTATATGGACACTCCATCAGGGAACGAAAAAGGTAGGAATTTGACGACAATTCAAATTATACGAAATTATACGAAATTACCTGTAACAACATTTATCGAAATTGATTAGGAGGACGGAAGCCTAGTGTCGATATTTGCTTTCGACTGCACTAAACAAAAAGATAAATTGCCTTTAGCTAAAAATGCATTCAAGAAATTTCGTACGATAAGACATCCCGATCTTTTACGGTACATCGATGGCGTTGAGGTAATATGCTAATTAGCACCGTATTACTTGTTAGATCAGCAGTTTCCTATAGCATTTATATCTCATTCATTCATTCATCCATTTGAAGACTGATTCATATATATATATTGTAACTGAAAGTGTCACACCCTTGCAAACCCAACTCGATGCTCAATTAGGAGATAATTCAACGTTATGGGGATTATATAAAGTCGGAGTAAGTAAAATTACGTTCTATTTTCCCTCCCGTTTCTACAAATGATCTTTAACATTAACATTTCGCCATTCATTTTTTCTAGAGTATACTAAAATTTTTAAACAATGACTGCGCAATCATTCACGGAAATGTTAGAATTTCGTCAATATTTTCCAATAAATCTGGAGAATGGAAACTAGCTGGATTTGAGCTGATGAGCTCTTTGAAAGAAGAAAGCCCCGTAATCTGTGTACATATAACGATATCTATAAGGATCCTAAATAATTTGTTGTCACTTACCGCAATTCTACTTCCTATGTTTTAGACTTATGGAGGATTGGTGCATGAATCTTCAAAATATGCGTCTCCTGAAATTTCTAAAAGTTCGTGGGATATCTTAAAAGAGTGAGCCTCTCAATTCCTAAGATTCAAACGACAAAGATCGATTTATATTAATTAATTTTCTATTTCCGTTATTTTACTTCAGTCACGATATCTGGGTAACAGATTCGTGGAACTACGGAATATTAATATACGAAGTTTATAATGGGAAATTCACCTCGTCAAAGCAACTTGACGGTCTTGGGTCGATACCACGGGTATGGGTTAATATATTTACACGAAGTAAATTAAACATGATTATTTACTAAAAAATCATATTTGTTAGGATATGCAAGCTTCTTATAAACAATTAATCAATGTTAATCCGAAATCTCGACTTAGCATCTCGAACTTTATTGATATTGGCTTGAGAGCAAATGGATATTTTCAGAATGACCTTATCCAAACAATTTTATTCTTAGAAAATATGAATATTAAAGAAACCGAAGAAAAAAATAATTTTTTCAAGTAAGAATTTCACGATAACACATATTTTTAGCAATATCAAAAAATAGTTTGTACTTAACAAAGTTTATTATTTGAGAATAGAAAGTTAAACACATTAATCGATAAATTTCCTCCGCATATTTGTAAATTCAAGATTTTACCGGAACTCATAAATGCATTGGAATTTGGGTCAGGTAAATAAATCTTATACAGAAAAAAGTATATCAAGTACATTAGGTACATCAGGTATATTAATATATTTATTATTATGTAGGTGGCGCTAAAGTTCTTCCTCTGATAATAAAAATCGGAAATGCTCTTGATGACAGCGAATACGAATCGGTAGTTTTGTCATCAATAGTAAAAATGTTTACTGTTCCAGACAGAACTATACGCTTGAGCCTATTGGAAAATCTGGCGTCATTCGTTAACAGGCTGGATAACAAAATAATTAATGATAAGATTTTCCCTAATGTGGTTAGTGTCAAACTTCATGAACTTCTACTCTTTGATTATTTTATAGGTTCCTAAGTTCACTTCTTCACAGGTTACAGGATTTACAGACACTATACCTATTATAAGAGAGAATACTGTTAAGTCTATTCTTTTACTTATTCCAAAGGTAAGAAGGACTTATATATATTGAAAACGTGACATGCAGTTAATGATTTATATTATCAAGCAATATACCAATGTAATCTTCTATTGATAGCTATCCGACCGTATAATAAATAATGATTTATTGCGGTATTTGGCTAAATTGCAAGTGGATGAAGAACCTGGCATTCGCACTAATACCACAATATGCTTGGGGAAAATTAGTAAATATATGTCTGAAAGCGTAAGTTTCTCAATATCGTTTTGGTGCATTTTTTCTGATCACTTAATTATATCATTTGTGATAATTGTAGACAAGGAATAAAGTTCTTGTGCCAGCTTTCACCAGGGCGCTTAGAGATCCCTTCCCGTATGCCAGGGCCGCAAGTTTAATGGCATTGGCAGGTTTGTATTCCACCAGTTTTCGGAAATTCTTATATGAAATTTAATTTATTCCGATTGTTCAGCTACTTTGGAGTATTATGATGCAACCGACTGTGCAACAAAAGTGTTACCCTGTGTTTCTGCCGCATTGATAGATAAGGAAAAGTAAGCAGCAGAAATTAACTTAAGAATTCATTATACAACCTGAGGGTTGATCGCTAAAATGTAGTTTATTCTTCCGTAGGCCAGTTCGCACGCAGGCATTTAAAACTGCCGATATACTATTTAAAAGATTGGAAAAATTGGCGGAATCTATGGTAATAAAATGTCTATAATCGTATCTTTATTAATGACCTGGCGAATGTTAGGCATAACGCGCACATTTTTATAGCCTGATTCTGCAATAGCTGAACAAAATACATCCACAGCATCTTCAACAATCGTAATTGCTAGTAGCGTTGCAGGAGCTGCTGCTAGTGCTGCTGAAAGCTGGACTGGATGGGCTGTCACATCCTTAACCAAAAAGGTGACTAATGTTTTTCAAGCGAAAAAAATATATGCACCTTCATTACTAAATTTTTTTTTTTTTACAAGCTTGCTGGATCCGTTGAAGGCGAGATTACTGCACCACCAACTAATAATGCAACAACACCTGGAAAAGAAAATTCACCGAATGGTCACTCATTATCCACGAATTCTAATGTTAAGAGCGATGCTAACGTAGAGCAAAGTGATCAGGATACTTCAGATGGATGGGAAAATGGCGATAATATGTTCAGCCTGGATAGTCCAATTAAAGAATTGAACAATGGTTAGCATGAGTATTATATATTGGAGGTCTCATTTATATCGCTTTATTTACACGTTTTATTTATTTATGAATTTAGTTCAAACACCCGGTTCACCATTATCCAATTTTGAAAAGAAATTAAGTTATACGGTTGCGACCACTTCGATGAAATTGGGTTCTGGGAACAAATGTAAGTGATTATTTTAGTCTCACATCTGCTTAATGGTTTTCACGATTAATTTATTTATCGGAAAAATAGCACATCCGACTGACAATTGGGGATTGGACGATGAAGACTGGGGTAATGGCGATTGGGAAGACGATTGGGAAGTCTCGAGACCATCATCAACACAATCGACACTGTCGTCAAATTCAACTAGATCTTTAAGTCCTGCGCAAAAATCCTCGGTATCTCATGTTCCATCTAGAGAAGAGAAACAGGCAGAGCTAAATAGAAAAAGGGAAGAAAGAAAACAGGTGCGCAATTTTACCATCACTGCTCGTACGCCTGATTAAATCCTGATTAAATAAAATGATATTGAAATTTTTTATATATTACAGAAAATGGCGGAATTGAAAGAAAAAAAGAAAAAAGGATCGGCACTTGGAGCAAAAAAATTATGATTCTATACTAATTACATACTTATTTATTTTCTACACTGGATCATAGAGACATTGGAGGATCCTAGAATTTTAATTATTAATGTTTAATTAGATTCTATTAATTCTAATAATTTTTAGTATTGTATTATATAACTGCACATTACTATTTGAACATGTCAGAAATCGTTAATAAGACAATTTTTTTAAAAAAATCCTCACACGTGTCAAAAGTGTGATCGATGATTGCAACAGAGTGGCAAGGCTAAACATTTCATAAAATATCAAATTCAGTTTATTAGAAGTTAAATTCGATAATAAGTCGAATTCATAGTGATTGCCGAGATTTTTATAAAATTAATAGTATTTGGGTGTTAGATGTAATTTTTTTTTTTATTTTATAATTAAGATTACACTTTGAACATAAACATAAACAAGGGTTGGGAGAAACTTTAGGCCTTAGGCGAAAAGAGATAATGTACAAAAGGAATCCTCTAATTATCAAACAAATGATTATCGTATGACAAATCATCATTTCCCTTCCAAAACATTTCACATCTATTTTGGACTCGACTGTTGAAGGTCTATTTTCTTATTTACAATTAGCAGTTCGAAAAAAGAGACTTGAGAAAAAGTTTCGTTCAAAATAAATAGTCCGGGAAGTATGAAATAGAAACGTTATATAGATTCAAAATCGAATAATAAATAATGTATGAATGCAAGTTTAAAGATTACATTCCATCTTCGTGCTCGATGTTTTCCCATTGTCCAAATGTTTGCAATTTAATTCCATTCGCAGGAATTTTAGATGAAACTCCGCCTTGTGTTGTGAATGAATCCATGCTGGATCTTACTGAACCATCCAGATTATCGACATCCAACAGACCTCTGGATGATGTTGGTGGTGTTGCTGGAGCACTACGGGTGGATGTCTTGTTGGTATTTATTCTCAAATCTATGCTTGATGACGTAGTCCTATTGTAAGGCTTTGATATGCTCGTCAATGCTTCGTCAACTCCAAAGGTCGAATATTCTGACCTTGTCAGTTGATTTTCAAATTGAAATAGTCTCAACGCTGTGACCGCTTCTACTTTCTGTAACTCCAATGCAACATCAACAGGTCGCTAGGAGTCAATTTAGAAAATACTGTAAGTTTGATTGAAAAAATGGATGTATACATTAATAGAGAATAATTAATTAATCAATACCTTTCCACGTTTGTCCTTTAAATTAACGTCGGCATGTCTTTTCATTAAATTCAATAATAACCTCGCATTATTCGTGGCGGCGGCATGGTGAAGACCACTCCAACCATCCTCATCAACCGAATTAATATCGCTAGACCACAACAACAAAAATTCAACTGCGACATCGTCATCTCTACGTATGGCTTGATGCAATGCGGTGGTTCCATTCTTCCGGTCATTCTTCCAATCCACATAAGCGCCAAGTGACAAATATTTCAAAGCGCCACTTAGATTTGAATTATTCATTTCTTCCCAGAAAGCCTATATAAATTTAGTCCGTCAGAAGAGAAACGAATAATAAACATAAAATATCAAGACCATATAATGAATTCTCACCAAATCCACATTGATTTCTTTCTCTTCATCTTTTCGAACAATATATTCTTTATTAACATACTTGTCTGTGATAAACTTTTCCCTCTCAGACCTAAAAATTGCGAGATGAAATCTTGATGTATTTATATAATGGACTTTCAAATAATGTAAAACAAACCTTTCCCATGATTTTTCCGACTTTCCATCCTTCTCTTTCAAAATTTTTGCCTCAAATATCTGATTTGCCTTGGAATTACCCAATCTCAGCATAACCTCAGCCGTTTCAGGTTCCCACTTGTCAAGCATCAGCGACCTGACCTTACTCACGTGCACACCAAGACTACGATGAATGCCAGAACACTCGATACACAGCAAAGTGCCAAAATTGGTACTAGCCCACTGCGGGTCTACAAATAAAGGATTGTCAGGTGATGTTAGAAAATAGTTGAGGCCAACGAAATATATAGACATATATAAATACCTTTAGATTTACAATCGGCACAAAGTTCGTTGCCTTCCAATTGTTTGACTTGGTGAATTAGTTGTTTAGAATTCTGTGATCGATCATTCGCTGCTTGCGAATTAGACTCGTTTTCATTGTTAGTATTTTCCTGTTGAAACTGCATCAATTCAAATCATGTCAGAAAGGTGCCAAAATCTAAAGTCAGAGGCAATAAGATTTTATACCTGCCTCTCTAGAGTTTAATTTTGGTGATTGTTCAGAATAGAATGCTTCCTTAGCCGCAGTTTGCAAATGATATATCCAATCCTCCATTTCTGCTTGGTTTTCGGCCTGTAGGATGTATGTCCTAAAAAAAAAATGAGATCGATTATTTATTATGAAATTGGCTGACACAAAAGTATCAAATAGCTATACCTCATTGGAGATAATATTTCAAAACAAAAGCGTCTGTCCGAATTATTGATTAACTTTATGTGACAAACTCTTAAATTAATAGAAGCCGAATCATCGTCCTCCTTTTGAAATCCAAATAAAAAAACAAACAATTTTAGTTTCAAGATTCCATGATTGGAAAATAGAAAATGAAAATAAGCACCTTCCCAGATTTATTACAGTAACATAACATTTCTCCGGAAATGGTGAAATATTTACGAGTCCAAGTTTGCATGACTCTTTGATTTCCTTTCATGAATAGGTAACCGGACTTCCTAACTCCCGATAAATTTCCACTCGGATTGGGATTATGATTTTTACCTGCTTTCCCTGATCTTAATGGATTGTAGGTTTCCTGGGCCGACTACAAGAGATCAACATCAGACTTGCTATTTAATAAAATTTTCATAGATAGAAATTTTTTTGAAAAATAAGATACCTCAAATATTTTCTTTCTAAGTAATTGTGACTCTTTGATATCGTTGTTGTACATTACCCTGGTCTAAGTTCATATTTGAAAAATTTAGAATAATCATCCAAATCTCATTTGAAAAAAAAATGTAAAAATAAATAATACCTCATGAAGCAACTCTAAAAAAAACAATTAGATTTTGAAAACCTTAATTATCATAATTACCAAAGTCGAATTAAATCTGAATTAAGAAATTACTTGTCACGTCTTTCATATGTGGTTCCAAGTCTTTCAAGATTTCATAGCTCTGATGATAAAACGACGATTCTGTAAACATCAAGGCCAAAATCTAAGGATTAAACAAGATAATCATTACATTATTTGAATATAACTCCAATTATCAAAAATACCAAAATTTCTGTGCCCATAAAGAATGAAATGAACCCTTTACATATTCCATGAATTCAAATTTCTTCTTTGCTTCTAATTGATTGACCCTAGTTACATAATCTAGATAACGAAGGTGGAATTCCCTTCGGGCTTCTGACAATTCATAGGATGCCTTGAAATATTATCTTTGTCAGAGATGTATACAGAAGATTTCAATGTCATTGCTTCAGTGTCATTTTATAATTTACTTCTTGAATCATCGAATCCCTCGGACGTTTGTTCATGTATCTTGAAAGAGCTGAATCAGCTTCGTTTCCGGCCTTTTCGAAGTTTTTTTTTAGATCCTAATAAAATACGAGGTATGGTAAATTACCATCATTATCTACCAAAACTACTTGGTTAACATAAGCCCTCGATTACCTTTAACGGTACTATCTCATTTTTTGCGAAAGCTTCCAATGGTTCTATAAACATGTTGTACATGTGCGAATGCTATGAAATGTGAATTAGATTTAAATACATCCGAAAAGCATATAAAATTATTATGGCTTAAATGCGTAGTAAAGGTTTTTACAAGAATTCGACGACTCCTTTCAACCTCTTGTAAAGATGACGCATACTTCATCAGAACGTTTTCTGTATCAAGTTGTTTTATCTAGTAAGTGCATTCTGTTGAAGTCAATTTAAAACAAAAATAACCGAGCATACTTATGATCGACTCAGGCTGTTGCTTTGCAAAATTCTCTAGTTCTTCCGCAAATTGAAGTTGTTTTGCGGTATACTCTATTGTCATTTGTATAAGAACAATGTTATTTTATTTTTAATTAACGACTAATTCGAAAGATTCTTCTCACCTTGAGCGATTTCAACGCTAGATCTCGATATTTTAACGAGATTCTTTATAGTAGCTTCTAAGCCGAAAATTGAAGATTCACAATCTGTCAACTCCCTTCGAAAAATTGGTGGGTCCTCCTGACATAGGTAAAGATTAAGCGGTGTCGTCATGTTTTTTACGTTTATATTTGATATAAAAAGGCTAACACATATATTCGATCAGTCCGTGAACTCGTAAGAGATTTAAGTGTCTCTAAAGTGTAACCATCAAGAAGATCATAATTTATGGTGTTTTGTCCACGATCTGCAAACAATTCTCGACCTTTTTTAGAAGTATGTCCGTCGGCAAGATTAGCTCGAACGACATCATAATGTGATAGCTTGACTATTCAAGAATCACGGCGGTAAAATGGTATGATGGAAAGGTTCATTGAGTATCTAAAGAAAAACTTGATTTATTCCAAGATTTATAGATCAAAAATTATAAATTAAAGCTTTTTTCGATCAAATACAAACTATGTTCAATATAGCTTTAAGTTCCACGTTCTGTTTATTCAGAGATCTTATTAAATTTTGTTACACCAATGTCTTGAACTTTGTTTCATAATGTTCTTCATTTAATCTCAACTTTAAAATTTTCTTTTTAAAAAAACATAACTGTATATACTATATTGAATTTCTCCCATATTGGCTCATTGCTATTGACTTTAGGGTTTTGTCAAGGCTAACATGCCAAGATGCAGTTAACATCGCTATTGTATAAAAAATAATTGTAAAAATTAAAAGTAATAATGTTTTTATCCTGGTCTAGCCAGTTGTTTATTAATTTTCTCTGTATACTGTTTGCTTTTTCTGTTTTATTTCTTATGGATAGTTAGTTGTCTTTTTAATACTTTTTTTTTTTTTTTTTTTAATCTTGCAATCAGGTTGGTGTCGTTTATTTATTTAATCATAAAGAACCATTACAAGT